TATATTATTCTAAAAACTACGACTTTGTTTGCCTTGGTACAGTAATCGGTAAATACTAATGATTATATTTGACGTTATAAGCATTTAATTGGTTCATGAATAGAAACATATTGGCCATTTACATTTGAGTCTATGCGCATTTACTGAGTCCGGGAAACTGATAAATATTAGTCGTTTACATTTGAGTCTATAAGCATTTACTGATTCCGGGGATTGATGAATAATGGTCGTTTATATTTGAGTCTATAAGCATTTACTTAGTCCGGGGGTTTGATAAATAATGGACGATTATATTTGAGTCTATAATCATTTACTTAGTCCGGGGTATTGATAAATAATGGTCGTTTATATTTGAGTCTATAAGCAATTACTTAGTTCATGATTAGCCATATATTGGTGGTTCAAATCTGAGTTTAGAAGAAATGACTAGGTTCGAGAGTCAATTATGAACGATTATATATGTATCTCGAAGTATGTACATGATTTGGGAATGACTAAATATTGGTCTTTAATATTTGAATCTATAAACATTTACTAGATTTAGGAATAAATAATAGTCGTTTGTATATGTATTTATAAGCATTTCCTTGGTTTGTGAATCAGTAAATAAATTGTCGTTTATATATGAATCTATAATAATTTACCGGACATAGATAAATATTAAACACCTTATATCCTATTGTTTCGGCACTTTATTGATTCAGTGGCAAACAAATATAGATCTCGTATATATTCGATTTTGTATTAATGTACTAGCGAGATAGCTATTTGGTGGCGAGACCAAGCCCGATATGCCAGGAACGAAATCATCAGCATAGTTTATGAGAGCAAGATTATAATGATGGGTTTATTGTAGCAAAATTGATGAGATAGATAGATAGATAGATAGATAGATAGATAGATAGATAGATAGAATAACAATATCTATTTTTAATAGGTAACTTAATCACACTCGATATATTGCGCCTAAAAATATCAGTATATGCTGAAATTTCGATTGTCTCGAATTTGTATATAAATATTTACTACTAATAATAATAGTAGATAGGTATTAACTATTAACATGATCACCTGCCAGGTACAGATAGATAGATAGATAATGAACAGAATGAGATAGATAGATAGATAGATAGATAGATAGATAGATAGATAGATAATGAGATAGATAGATAAAGAGAGAGAGATAGATATAAATGAACAGACTGAGATAGATAGATAGATAGATAGATAGATAGATAGATAGATAGATAGATATGAACAGATTGAATGTGGGTGGTTTCCTACTATGTAAGTGGTATGGCGTGTTCTTGCCATGGAGGTTTGATTTAGCGGGACCAGGGCTTGTAGTTCGTCCGTGCAATTTCCATGGAAGTAACAGTAGAGATGCAAGGTTGCAGATGAAATTATTTAATGTTTCGAATTATATAACGGCAAATACAGATTCTTTAAACATATCTATCTATCTATCTATCTATCTGTCTATTTTTCTCTCTCGCTCTCTCTATATCTCTCTCTCTCGATATATATATATATATATATATATATATATATATATATATATATATATATGTGTGTGTGTGTGTGTGTGTGTGTGTCTGTGTGTGTGTGTTGTGGATTCCGGGTTGAAATCCGGTACCAATAAATATCAAACGCCAGGAATGAATATATGAAAATAATGTATTAACGTAATAATACAAACTGGTAAAGCAGGTTAGTATTTCCAGGAATACGGGTTAGTAGCAAAATATCTATAAAGTCTTTGGTATTGAAGTATCGCTGTATGACTTCTTACTGAGTCTACGTGCTCGCTCACTGTGACTCCTACAACGCTGTTACCTCACCCCTCACTCTTCCGGTTACCTACAACCTTTTACTCTGTCACTCTGGACTCGACTCGACCATTCGGTCTTGCTCTCTCGGGTCTTCACGTAGCCGTAGTATATGTATATACAGGGTGAGTCCATTTGTGTAAAAAAGGAGAGAATCCTTCAACACCCACCTCCTTAGATTCCTTTTTTTTTTGGTGGGGGGTAATATCTTTTCCTTTTTCTGATCGATAATCAGAGGGTCTGTAATTTTTCTCTTCCTATTTGACATTCTAGTTTCTCTGTCTTCCTGTGGTCTTTGAATCTCAAAAGCTTCAAAGATTGCATCCATTGAATCGTCATTTTTCAGCGGGCGACGAGCTTGGCTATTTAACCCGTCTTTTTTGTATTTGGTCAATATGTCTTCCATGGGTAAACTTTTCGCCTTGTATTGTGTACATCACATTTCCTAGCCTGTTAATTATTGTGCCAGGCTCCCAGTAAGCCATATTGTTCCTGAACATCCTAAAGTAAACCCGTTCGCCTGGTTTAAATGATCTCTTGGGTACTATAGGTGTATGCTGGTGTTTATTCTTGTTAGGCAATAACTTATCAAATGGCACGTTTCGCTTCTATTTATATACAGGTTGGACATTTTCTTTTAATTCAATTCTAACTGCACCCTTACAAAACGAACTGATAGGTAAATCCCATACGTCGAACTTTTGCATCCAGTCCGTTCCCACCAGATTTTCTGTATCTTTCATTACGAATATTTTGAGTCTTCTTTTTTTCCCGTGAAATTTTACATTTAGGATTACTTCTTCTTCGAATTTTATACGCTTTCATGTAACAGACTTAGCAATTTTTTGTGTATGTAACATGGTTGGTCTATTAAGCTTTCTCCATGTCTGTAGGTTAATTATCGTTATATCGGAGTCAAGTTGCAATTTTATCTTTTAATAAAGATTTCAAGTTCCACATATTTCCTTATGTTAGTATTGTCTTCGTCATGCATTCTAGTAACTCTTATTCTACTAGTAAATTTTCTGTTCCTCCATTGTGACCCATTTTTCCACATGTCGGGTCTTCACTTACCCGTAGTATATGTATACACTGGGTGAGTCCATTTGTGTAAAAAATGGGAGAACACCTCTACATATATATATATATATATATATATATATATATATATATATATATATATATATATATATCTCCTCTTTCTTCATATCAGTTTCTCTCTCTATCTCTCTATCTATATCAGTTTCTTCATATCTATCTATCTATCTATCTATCTATCGCAGGCAGGTCCATATCTATCTATCTATCTATCTATCTATCTGTTGAAACTTGACTAATGCATGGAATAATAATGCAACAAAAATGTACTTAGAACAAAATATATTGAAACAAGAAAGTGTACACAATATTTACGTATAGTCTTTTGAATATTCCTGGTAAGACCGTTCCTGGAGAATGTGTTGACTGAGTCGCAGTCGGGCAGAGTCTCTGGTTGAATCTCTTGATTCCTTCCTCTCTTCCCGGTACCAACCATATTTATATGGTCGGTACTCCACACTATCTATCTATCTATCTATCTATCTATCTATCTATCTATCTATCTATCTATCCATCTATCTATCTATCTATCTATCTATCTATCTATCTATCTATCTATCTATCGCAGACAGGTCCATATCTATCTATCTATCTATCTATCTATCTATCTAAAGTAGGTTCATATCTATCTATCTATATATCTATCTATCTATCTATCTAAAGTAGGTTCATATCTATCTATCTATCTATCTATCTATCTATCTATCTATCGCAGTCAGGCTTCCGATTTCTTTCTTTTTTTCTTTCTTTCTTTCTACTAGGTTAGCCAAAGATTTTGTTCTCTTATTAAGTAAAAAAAATTTAAAAAATACTCAAGAATTGAATGGACATTTTGACGTAGTCAATATCTACCTATGCTCATTTATATATATATCTCCGTCTAATACTCTCTGTCACTGTTAATATTTTTCTTTATCTATCTTAAGTCTGACCCTTTCCTTATTTTTTTCACCATCCATGTATCATTCGATCGTAGGACCCGTGTCCCAGTGCATCTTAAAATAATGTCCATATTTCTAACCCAGCTTCTGCCTACGCGCTGCGTGTCAGCAGATTCCGTTTCACTTCTTGCACTTGGCAGGCAGTAACATCGTGTTGGGACCGACGACGTGCGAATCGGACAGACATTCCGACAGCAAGAAGAAGAAGAAGTAGAAGAGGAAGGAGAATTCATGCTCCGAAGATCCTGGACATCTGCACTGTGTTTGTGTGCATTAATGTTTAAAATTACTACATTAATTGCAGCAGGGTCTTCACTATCAGAGAGAGGGCATTTCTAGTTAAGTTAAATTACAATTGTAAGGTGACTGTCATTTTTACATCTCAATCCGATCTTTAGACCATGCAGCGTGTTCGTTCTGTGAAGGTCTGCCTCGGCTGGACCAGCTGTAGATTTTTGAATCAGACGTTCCCCAACTAATCTGAATTCCGTAATGCGCTGTTATTGTCTTTGCGATGATCGATGAAATAACGTAGGGCCTCTGGTCTTACTTTACCGTTGAAATTTGCGGGATGGGCGAATTCTCAATTCATTTTCTTCTCACTGAATTATGTTCACTCCTGATCTAAATGGATTTAAAAAAAAAATCAAAACTGATCAAATGTATTACTGTAAACCACCTGTGAGTTTAGTGACAGCTGTTATGCAGAATGTCTCAGCAGTGTTCATACAATCCGTTTTAAGGTTTCTGGATGTGTATACATATTTATTTCGATTTATATATAAATAAATTAGGTATGTAAATGTATTAATAAAGTAAAATTTATGTTGCGTTTGTTTTCGAGATAAAACCTGACACGCCCAAATTAATGTATTAACAATATTTATTTTTAATAGGGAACGATATTAAAACTGAAGCTAAACCGACATATTGTCCCTGAAGAATTCGATTATCCCTAATTTGTGTGTAAATATTTACAGAGATAATAAAATCTGATTATAGATAGGTGTTACTTATTAACATGATCACCTACCATGGACAAATAGAGAGATAGGTATGAAAAGCCTGAGATAGATAGATATCTATCTATCGGGCAGTTCATATCTATCTATCTATCTATCTATCTATCTATCTATCGATAGATAGATAGATAGATAGATATAGATAGATAGATAGATAGATAGATAGATAGATATGAAGAAACTGAGATAAATAAATAGCTAGATAGGTATATAGATATGAAGAATCGGAGATAGATAGATAGATAGATAGATAGATAGATAGATAGATAGATATGAAGAAACTGAGATAAATAAATAAATAGATAGGTATATAAATATGTAGAATCGGAGATAAATAAATATGTATAGATAGATAGATATGAAGAAACTGGGATGAATAAATAAGTATATATATATATATAGAGATAGATAGATAGATAGATAGATAGATAGATAGATAGATAGATAGATAGATAGATATTAAGAAACAGATAAATCAATAGGTATGAAGAGATAGCTAGATAGATAGATAGATATGAAGAAACTGGGATGAATGAATAAATAAGTATGAATATAATATATATATATATATATATATATATATATATATAGAGAGAGAGAGAGAGAGATAGAGGGATAGATAGATACATAGATAGATAGATATTAAGAAACAGATAAATCAATAGGTATGAAGAGATAGATAGATAGATAGATAGATAGATAGATAGATAGATAGATAGATAGATAGATAGATAGATATGAAGAAACTGGGATGAATAAATAAGTATGAATATATATATATATATATATATATATATATATATATATAGAGAGAGAGAGAGAGAGATAGATAGATAGATAGATAGATAGATAGATAGATAGATAGATAGATAGATAGATAGATATGAAGAAACTGGGATGAATAAATATGAATATATATATATATATATATATATATATATATATAGAGAGAGAGAGAGAGAGAGAGAGAGAGAGAAAGATAGATAGATATGAGTAAATTAAGATGAAGGAAATTTGAGAAGAGACTATGGGTTTAATATCAAGTGATTATATTTAAAAAAATATATATATATATATAGTTTTAATCCATTTCATTTGTTTCCTTGAAGAATTTTCTCTGAGATAACTTCATAGGTTTGCGTGAAAGTACTTACAGACTCTGCAAAATTCCTTCAACATTCAATCACTATTCTTTACTTGCTGTCTATTCTTTTAAAATGCTTCCTTTACTTTGACGATGCTGGCCGTTTTTAAACTGCCTTTGGCGCAGTTCCAGACATTTGAATTGGGCACTGGACAAAGAAATTACCTGTCTCACGCCAGATTTCCTCTATCAAGTTCAGTACAATCCGTATTATTGCTGTGTATTGAATGATTTGCAACGTACTTTGTCTAGAACTGATGTAAGAAATAAAGCTAGTACAAGTCTGTCCTCCCGTGTAGCGACATTTCGGAGATCTGCCCATTTTTTTTTTCTGTCTATACCCACAGGATTGAACATAAGTTTCATTGTAAAACCATTTGCCCTTGTCAGAATTTTTTTTTTCACTTTGGTTTAGCTTTTGTATTTGACTTAAATCACGTGAAAAAATATTAAGCACGGAATTAAACGCCATTTATAAAAAATATAAAATGTATGAATTACTTTTTTTTTTAAATTTTTTTTTAGAAAATTGCATGAAGCCTGGTGTCTTTTTTATAAGAATTCTTGTGAAGTTTTAATGTTTTCTTTAGAATGAAGCAGGTGCGTGTCTCAGCTAACACACGGCCTGTTTTTTGTGTGTCTGTTTTTTTTCTTTTTTTAATCAAGTGAAGTATTACGTCTGCTCACCAGTATTTTCTGTTTATGTTTATCAATGTTTATGGACATGTTGCAGCTGCTGAATGTATAAACGTAAATTTAGTGTTTCACTTCGTTTTAATACGCCTACGATCACACCAGTCGCACAACATTACCTTTGTTCCATGGAGCTCGACATTTGTGGCTTGTGTCCACCGCAGGTCGAAACAGCGGTTCCCGTAAGATCACTGAAGTTAAGCAACGCCGAGCCTGGTGAGTACCTAGAGGCTGACCGCTAGGGAATACCAAGTACTATAAGTTTGATGTGGAAGAAGTGGACTGGAAAATGGTTAAAACATCTTAACCGGGGATCTGTTCCAATTCCCGTTAGCTAAGTCATATACATTTACGCGAAAATAGGTTTGGGAAAGGTACGGATCGACTTCCTCTTCCTCCTACTTGTACCACTAAACCAACATTATCTGCAAAAAAAAAAAAAAAAAATTCTTACAATCTAAAAATATTTTCCTTCTTTAAATAAAGTGTTGATAAGCTGTAAAAATCAATCAATCGGTCTTTCGATTTGGTTTGGTTTGTTTTACGGCATACCACCTCAATGGGTTATTTAATGCCGACAAGAATTTTTATTGCTGACGATATTTATTTCCAAAATTATATTGCTGGTAATATTTTTTCAAAATTATATTGCTGGTAATATTTTTCAAAAATTATATTGCTGGTTTTTCAATATTCTTTTTTTTTTCAAAATTATATTGCTGTTAATATTTTTTTCAAAAATTATATTGCTGGTAATATTTTTTTTCAAAATTATATTGCTGGTAATATTTTTTTCAAAAATTATATTGCTGGTAATATTTTTTTTCAAAATTATATTGCTGGTAATATTTTTTTCAAAATTATATTGCTGGTAATATTTTTTTTTCAAAATTATATTGCTGGTAATCTTTTTTTTCAAAAAATATATTGCTGGTAATAATTTTTCCAAAAAGTCTTGCTGGTAATAATATTTTTACAAAAAAGTATTGCTTGCATAGACACCTATTTTAACACATTCATAGTCCTTTGACCCCAGTTTGCGGGGTAACTATTTGCCCATAACTGGGAACCCTAACAGGTGCAACCACTCCATGTCAGGGTGGATCTGGGAACACCAGCAATTAAGAGGTGGTTACACGCTTCTCATAACCTCATGATCAAAGGTCTTGCTGTTGGATATAGTTTATCGTCTTACCCAGAATGCGGATGTAGTTTATTGTTATCCCTAGGGCCGTCGATTTTTTGGGGTTGTTTTTGTGTTAGATATCTATTCTTCTCAGTGTGACTTCGTCCCCCGGTCGCAGCGCCAACTGTGACGTTCTATCCTGATCTACCACGGCGCCAGTTGTGACGTAGTCGTTCCAGGGTCCTATCCCGGTCACGACACCAGATGTGACGTCCCTAAACAGCACCAATTGTGACGTCTTCGCCGCGGCGCCAGCTGTTCGCTCCTCGCTGCTCCGTCCGGGTGTCGCTGCTCCAATCGTGACGTTCTAACCCTTTGGTTATTCGGGTAGGAATCTGTTTAGATTTGATATCAGCCTCGCCGTTCCCAACCTGCTTCCAACGCCTGGTTACCAAGGTAACTGCACTGATCTCCAGTCTGCCTACCCACGTTGTGAATTGATCTTAACAGACGAGATCAAACAGGGGTTGGGGCCGTAATGCAAATTGAGTTCAACGGGGGTGATAACACACAAATATGCATAAAAGAAAATAAAATGAAAACTCAAAAAGTTCAAAGTATTAAAGAAAAAGGTAACAAACTTTTTATGTCTAGTTGTTCGGTACATAGGACTGCATCTATCTCCCGACCCGATCTGTGGATTGTGGCACGTCGCTTTCGCTAGGCAAGTTTTAACGCTTCAAGTTGTCTGCTCTCTAAGAAATTGGTGTTTCGGTGTGTCTTTGGACGAAAGTCGAAAAACTTATTTCTGTGGTCTGATTCTAAGTCGCTCTTCAAACTAATTGTTCTTGGTTGAAGAAGAGTCCAAAATTTTGCGTGAATCTTGGTCAGCTATCTTGATCTATCATCTCTGCCGTCGGTGCGCGAACTGCTGGGCAGTCATCTCTGCCGTCGGGGCGCGAACTGAACTAACTCTGCCTGCCAGAGTCCGACGAACTCGGCACTCATCTCTGCCGTCGGGGCGCGAACTGCTGGGCACTCATCTATGCCGTCGGGGCGCGAACTACTGGGCACTCATCTCTGCCGTCGGGGCGCGAACTTCTGGGCACTCATCTCTGCCGTCGGGGCGCGAACTGAACTAACTCTGCCTGCCAGAGTCCGAAGAACTCGGCACTCATCTCTGCCGTCGGGGCGCGAACTACTGGGCACTCATCTCTGCCGTTGGGGCGCGAACTACTGGGCACTCATCTCTGCCGTCAGGGCGCGAACTCTGCACTCAGGGCCAAACGAACTCTTCTCTGCCCGCCTGGGTCGAACGAACTGATTTCTGTCTGGTGGGGCTTCGTTTTTATTGACGCCGTCAAAACCGGGGTGGGTCTGTTGGCGTCAGGGGTTCTTCGATAATTCTAAATACATATCCACCCTTCTTATTTCTGGTTAGGGATTTTCCACTCTTTTCCATTTTTGGTAACTATTTTCTCACTCCCACTTTCTCACCATTCTTCTGAGGGGCGAGAACTGTCCTTCCCCCACTTCTTCGTAGCGGCTTCTCATACTTATACTCTGGATAGGGCGTTGACTGTTTTCTCGGCCAATGAGGTCCTTCGTGCGTCATGTGATCACCACATTGGCCAATGACGTCTTAGTCGGGCGTGGACAACCCGTGGCTTTGTTTTGGAAAAAAATATACCTTTCTTAACTAAAAAAAATATGATCTCTCCTCTTTCTTTCTTTTCTTTCTTTCAAATCGCCGTTATCATGGGCGGTTGATGTGACAACTCTCTGTTCAACACGTGGCGTTTGTCACGCAGTTTATCGGTATTGCACTGGACAGCTGGATTATCTGACATGGTCTAAGAAAGGAATTTTCTCCAAGTTTTTCGCCAATTTGGCGTCTCCAAAGCAGAAATAAAAATATGTCAGTTTCCTTCGGTTCATGTGTTTGATAACAAAAATTTTATTATCGCAGGGCAAAAGTCTATTCTGTCAAAACAAAAACTTAGCCAGTGAAACTACTTGTGGGGATTTTAATTTTCCATACTCAGCCAAGGCCCCAAGCCACACCTGTGTTTCGTCTAACGTTCCAAAGTGGACTTCTTCTTTGGTGACATCTCTTGATAACACAATTCCATTTTTCGCGGATAAGCGGAAATAGGTCAACGCTTGTTGGCAGGTGGCCTAGATATTGATAACACCTCCTCGCCCACTCAATCTCATTGTCATTGAAATGAAACTCTTTTCGACATTTGATACCTATCAAAAATGACCCTTTTCTTTCTTATTCCCGTCTCTTAAGCCGTGTGTGTGTGTGTGTTCGCCTATGACCCGTCTCGTATTACTTTTTCCTTTTCTTCGTTTTCTCTTTCTTTCTTCCAAATCGCCTGAATGCATGGCGGTTCAATCCTCTTGTAAAAAAAAGAAAGAAAGAAATATTCTTAAAACCTAAAATACATTTCGGCCTTAAATAATCCGCAAATGGTTGATAAACCGTAAAAAAGCAAATCATATATCTATAAATATATCTTTCAAATCGCCTGGATGCATGGTGCCACATCAGCTTTTTACGCTGAACGTTGCATTATGTCATAATTTTTAGGAATACTGGAATTAAACGGACAATTGTAGTTAGAATCAGAACGAAAGTGTTTAGGTTTTCGGGTCACATATTATATATAAAGTACAGTGTAAGTGTGTATGTTTGTGCGCGTGTGTGTGTCCAAGCAACTCCTCCGCTTCCTACTGGTCTGATTTCAATGATTGATAGCTCATTCGAAAGCCCTAGAATATTTAGGCGCATGGAACGATTTTGCGAAGCGATAGCGAGCGGGCGAAGCCTGCTAGTACTGAATAAAGGGGCTTGGAAAATTTAACACAGAAGGATATGCAAAAAAAAAAAAACAACAGTTTTTGTGGGTTACAGTTATAATGGATAAGAAATTATAGAGAGCCAGGTGCTGAAGGGACAATGCCCCTGAAGAGAAATGTATGTAATTATGAAACTAGAAATGCATGTAAGTATGTAAGTAAAAAATTTCACGCGATTCTGTTATCAGCTCTAGGGCAGTCATAACTTTGTAACTGACATGAAAATTATGCATAGACACATATCCGGGCTTTTATAACTGTTATAGTCCGGTTCCTTGTACCCCGGGTGATAGTCCAAGGTAGAACTAATAAAGAAGAACGCGAACACAGGTATGGAATAACACAGATATATTACAAACAGGAATATATACAGAGAGGTAGAAAGTGTTAGTAAGAACAATCAGGTTTAGTAGTAATTGTCTGAACGCGACTCTGTTTCGGACTGCCTCTGACTCGACAGACTGACTCGCTCTGACTGACTAACAGACTCCTGATGGACCTCACTCCAGACTTCAGTCTGAACGGTATTTAATTCCCCCCTATGAGGGCATCATGTGGCACAAGGCCGGTTTAACCTGGGATCTCTGGCCCGTGGGCTCGGCCAAAAATATGCCATTTGAACCCGTATAAACGGATTCAGGGTCGGTTTACCTCCCCGAAAGAGACTCTGCCCTTCGACATAGCCTCGTTCGAGTTCCTCCCCGCTCGAAGGTGGAGAGTTCAGCCGGTCAGCCGGTCGTCCGACTTCAGACTGAACTCCCTGCTTCCTCTTGAGGCGCAGTATTTATTAGGTATGGAATAGTCCATTATGGTATCATGGGTAAGATCCCATAACAATAACTATGTTTCCCATGTTTCTCTTGTTTAAATACTTCTTCGCTTTTTACCGTTTCTCATAGTGTGCAAGTCTTACTGATATTGGCTGGGGTTTATTTTGACTCCCCACTGAGTCATGTTGTGACACAAGGCTGTTTTTTTTTGTTGTTGTTAACGTAGGATTCCGAGTGTTTCCACCCGGGCCGCTGGTACAAGCTGGTCTTAGCTGGTGATATTTTGTCTAAGCTAGTCACAGCCAGTCATACCACCTCTACGGAACAGATGTTACGGAACAAATCAGAGGCTGTTTTCCACGAAACATTGAGAACACAAGGGAGGGGATAAGGCCTCCGGCACGGAACAGATACTACACCCGCAACATGTACACAGACGAGGGAAAAAAAATCTCCTTCACTGCCCTTTCCGGAAGAGTGCCACTCTTACTGATAT